TCTCTGTGTGTGTGTGTGTGTGCGCAGAGTTCCACATCTGGAGGGACTTTGATATCTGGGCAGCGGGCTCACTCCAACATTTCTTTTTTACTTTCAAGGATACGGACATACTCAGGGTCTCAGTCCCAACCCGGACAGTCAGGGTCTGGAGGTTTCCAGGTGTCTGGTTGTCGCCCGGTTTTCCACACATACAGAGCTATTTGGGCGGGCCTGCCAGAAAACAAATATATTTAAAAAATGGCTACCCGCCATGCTCGAGGCCAATTTCCTTTTGGGGTAGGCCATACCTGTAGGGCCCTATACCTAGGTCCCCAAGAAAAGCACAGCTGAATTTGTTTTGACTACCCAGTAGGAACCTACTAGCAGGGGCCCTGGTTGGGCTACATGGACAAGAATGGCCACTCAACTGCAGGCATGCACAGCCAATTTGGTCTCTTCGTAGACCCGTAAAGACCTACCAGTTCACGAGGTCCAAAACTTTGGCTTGCAAGATGGACTCAGCAAGCAGAGGGGAAGAGCTCAGTGCTCAGGGAAAAATAGTTTGGCACACAGCACAATTCGCATCAGCACTCTATCACAGAGCGATGAGCGCTGAGCACTTTTTCAACTTTCGCAATCACATTTGAAAAGCGCGATGCACCTCGAAGAACTTTGCAGTGCCCACAGCCAAAAGAACTCAGTAAGGGTTAGAGCCACTCTTTTACTTGTCAACAACCCTAAGAGCTATGGTGTGATCCAGACAAGCATGCAGATCAACTCACCTCTTCCAGACTGTCCTTCACGTGCTGACCTTCTGCCATCTCCCTCTCATACCGGGCGACCTTCTCTTCCAACAATGCCGCTGATCTCCTCAGAGCTAAAAGCTCCCCCTGAAACATGGAAATTCCAAAACACACCAAAATTGGAGGAACCTTGTTCAGAATCAAGTCCACCAAACATTCCAGTGACGGGACCACCATCGGACCTGCCAGGCAGCAAGTGCCCTCAATAAACACCAGTTCCAGGACTTCCAAGAACTGGAAAGCTGCTTTGTGACTAACTGAAACGCAATTCAGCAGAGCATCAACATGTTTCCATACACATGCCACAATGACAAAGCTGATTTGGAGAGGGATTCACACCACACAAAAACAGATGTCAACAGTGGAACTACAATAAGCCAAGACGAATTGAATATTAACAATTTAAAGGTCCCTGGCCACTTCCAAGCTGAATCAGATTCAGACAAGAAGCCAAGAATCACAACTGACGATAAACCACCTTTACAAATTCAAATCTAAGTTTCAACAAGTCTTCCTTCTCCCTCAAATACGTCCCATAGCTGGCTATGGCGCTCAGCACAAAACCACAGCGCCCGGCCTTACGCCCTGTACACCACCAGCACCTCCACTGAACTATTCCGGAAGCACTACTGTCTTCACCCGAATAGAGCACCTGGTCATTATAAGTGAATTTGGTCAGTCCAGACACGGCCAGTATTACCAGGCATTCTATTCCGATGAAGACAGTAGCGCTGCTCAGAACTTACTCAGATGCCTCAGCGAGGTGCCAGAGTCCTCCTAGAACAACCCCTGCAAGCACAAGGACAAAGAAGGAACCTCCAGCTTGAAGAAGAAGAAGAAGAAGAAGAACGGCTGCCTCAAAGGAGAAGATATGGCAGCGCCTCACCCCACAGCACAGATATGCCGGAGTGAGTAAAGCGGGTTTAAACTCTCCCATCATTTCAGTGGTATCAGAGCAGACTCATTGTCTTTCTTGCGCTGGGAGTTGTGCCGCGCGTGAGCGTGTGTTGAAGAAGATTGGTGTCTGGAAGAGGCTGGCACGTGGAATAGGCTCCACGTGTTTAGGAAGCCGCACACTGAAGGGAAGAAACCGTCCACTACAGGAAAGAAGCGGCACACTAGAAGATAAGCCGGCAAGCTGGCGGGGAACGGAGAAGGCCAGTGGGGCAAGAAGAAAGCCGGCACAGTGAAGAAGGCCGGCGCATTGGAGAAGCAGTGCGCTTGAAGAAGGTGCTTGCGCTGGAGAAAGAAGCCAGGCATTGAGGAAAAAAACAGCGTGGCTGAGAGAAGGCCAGCGTGCGTGAAAGAAATCTGGCAGGTGAAAAGGCGGCGGCAGTTGGCTCAAAAAAAGGAATTATGCGATTGATTGAGGGAGGAAGGGAAGCAAGGGAGCAGGAAGGAGATACCTGCAGCGTTGAGCAACCTACATACAGCACCAAGCATCAAGGAGCTTCCATCAAGGACCAAAGTAAAGCACCTCGCCACCCTGAGCCTTGATTGTTACGTGCATGCCCTTGATGAGTAACTATTCTTATTTCATGGACTGAACTCCATTCATCAATTTCATTGATGTCAACGACGTCTAAGTCTGTTAGGAGGATGTATGCGTAGATAGATTGGGTCAGCCTGCCTATGGCAGTATCGTGTTAAATAGCTGAACGGCCATGAGAGTGGGCCGCTCGTTAACCAACCTGTCTAGCCCCAAGGACCAGTAGTGACTGGAATGTATGTGAACCGCGTGAGCACGAGTGTTGAGAAGGAGTGCAGATACCACCTGGCCTTATACTCCTCTCCGCTACGGAAAAGAATTCTCAAGCATCTCCAGTCTGTCCTTTAAACTGCTTGTGACCAGTCAACGGTAGCCTTCCACAACCTGGTAGTTGAGTCTAGTAGAGTGTTAGTTAACGCTAACTACCTTCTTAACCCGAAAAAAACGTACGTACCTTGTATACAAATAAAACGTACGGGGTACTTTGTATTCGAATACAACGTACGTACGTTATAGAAAGAGTTTTAGGGTACAACTTTTCAGAAGCCTGTTGTACCGCCATTTTTTTTATTTTTATCTCAAATTTGGTTGGGAATTTCGCCAAGACCCTCAGGCAACAGTTGTTTGCATTGCAATGTTGTACAACATACTTTCTTTTTCGGATTTTTTACTGAAGTTTTGTTTAAATCGAAATTCTGAAAAAATCAGTAAAAGACATTTTCATCCTCGTTTTTATTTTTTTCTCGAATTTTCTCGTGAATTTGAATAAGACCCTCAGGCAAACGTTGTTTGTATTGCATTGTTGTATAACATTTTATTTTTTTCGGATTTTTTTGATTATTTTTGGAATATCAAAGTTTCAAAAATTTGAACACAACATATGTACGTTCTATTCGAATACAACATATGTACGTTGTATTCGAATACAACATATGTACGTTGTATTCGAATACAACATATGTACGTTGTATTCGAATACAACGTACATACGTTATATTCGAACATACGTTCTATTCGGGGAAAAACAAGCGATTACAGAAAACCCGATTTCCAGAGGTAATTCGAATAGAACGTAAGTACGTTTTTTTCGGGTTAAGAAGGTAGTCTGAGTAAGTGCCATGTGGGTCAAAGTCAACAGGCCTAGAGTCAAAAAAAGGGTAGGTCTAAGTGTTGGGGGTTATGAAGTGGAGTCCGTTCAGGTGGACTGTTGTTTGGGTCCCCGGAAATGGATGACTATCCGACATTCTCCTTTCTGGCTCTTTCTGTTCTATTCAAACACCTCTTCAGCTTTCTTTTGCCCCTGGGCTTCTGGCGCTGTATGCAATTACTGGTGATAGAGCACCCAGTGGGAGACAGACTCAACAGCCAGGGGACCCAGGAGACAAAGATCCAAAGAAGAAGAGGCAACCAAGGAGGAGAGGAGGAAGAAGATACTGGCCGAAGATTACCATCCAACTGGGATGGCTCTCTGCCCTGTCCCTCTCACCATCTGTTCCTTCCTCGCTCTTACCGTTCATTTGATATTCTCCCCTCTCCATCCCTCTCTCTTAGTCCAGCGGATGAGTTAAATGC